ATTGGATCATTCTCTTAACCCATATGTGGTGACCTTCTGTACCTCTTTATAGGATGCTACTCCTGCTGTTCTTCAGGATCCCATTGCATGAAGTATTGATTTCCATCCTTTGATTTTTATTCTGCGCTTATTTTTAGGTGAAATGTGTGTCTTGTATATAGCATTCCACTGAATTTTGTTTCTTGGTCCATTCTGCCAGTTTGTGTCTTGTCCCTGGGGAATGGAGACCACTCACACTGAGAATTACTACTGATAGGTAATGACTTACTCCTGTCACTGTTGCTGACTCCCCTTTTTCCCTCTCGACCTAACTCCTCACCCTACCTGGTGTATTCATTCTATTTGTTCTTCTGTCATTGTTTTGTTTTGTTTTCATTTGTCTTGTCATTGTCATAGTTTCATTTTCTCTTCTGAGGATTCTCAAAAATCCTTGGGAAATTTTTGGAGTGCTGGTTTGGTGGTCATGAATTTCTTTAGGTGCTCTTTATCAAGGAAATACCTTATTTCTCTATCACTTTTGATCCTTTTGCACCATCTAATTAATTTTTTCATTGTTTCATCTATTGTTTTATAGTCCCAGTTAGGAAAAAGGCACATGAGAGCCTGCGGGCTTATGATGGCACAGAGCCCGATTTCAGACTTATTTTCTGCTGTCTGGTTGTCTCAGCAGGATTCACTGGCCACAGGTTGTTTAACTCCGACTCATATTTTGTATCCTTTTGTTTCTGCTCACAGTAGAAAGACGAGGCCATAAGATCTGCATTACCGTTCTTCTCTGAGTAAAAAGATTCTCACATTTCTGATTCTGACTTGGGATTTTGTTGTTTGAAAACACACTGGACACCCACAGAAGGGTGGGCTGAGGCCCCCAGCCCTGATCCCGTGTTAAGACATGGCAGAGAGGGTGGCCTGCGACCATGAACTGTGTTTGTGGTTCTAGGCAGACACCCACATGGGGTGTGCTGGGCTGGGCAGACCCGGCTTGAGCACCCGGAGTCCGAGGGCTGGGCACGTTGCTCCTCGTTAGTTCTCCAGGCAGCGGTTCTGTGCCCAGGTCTGCTGCATATGCTTCAAGACACCAGGCTTCACTGCTCTGCTGGTTCTGGGAGGTCTTTGCCTACTGGAAACAGATTTTCTAGATGGGGTGGGTGTGGGGGTGCTGAGTTTCTCAGACTTCCTTTTGATTTTCACTACTGTCTCCAGTGTATTGTTCTTGTATTTCTGCGAGTGGTTTGTGAGTTACTTTGGGTTGTGTAGTTGTCTGGGAAAATATGGTCCTGATATTTTTGTTGTATTGATTACTGTAATCTCATCTGTTGTGACTGTCTTTCTTGTGATTCTGTTCGCTGCTGTTATTTTCCCTAGAGGTACTGCAGGTGTATTACAGGAAAGGCGCTTGATTGTGGCTTCTGGTTGCTGTTGCTCTCTGTCCCACAGTGTAGCCAAAAGGGGGTTCCAGGTTTCTCTGTTAGGTGAAGGTCTCACCAAACATGGGAGTCACAGAGTATTCCGAAGGTCTCACCACTGTGCTGCCTTTCAGCTGACTGGGGCAAATTTAAGGGGGATGGTTTAAGGAAAACGAGGCTGATGGTTTGTTACACACCCTGGCCCCAGAACAAATTGGGAAACCAAGAATACTGGCCAAAGACCGGGTCTTTGAATTCTAATACCATTCTTCAGCTAGATCTCTTCTGTAAAAGGGAAGCGGGGAGGCATCCTTTACACCTACGTTATGAATTTATACCAGGACCCTAGATGTGGGAATTCTTGTTATGCCCGTGCGGCTGCTGTTTCCAAGGCCCACAGCGCCTGACAGAGCCATCCTCATGGACCCTGCTTCCATGAGCACATCATCAGCAGGTGTCCGCACCCCCAAAGCCAGTATGGTGCCCAACAGGGCCTGTCGCTGGGCTACCCTGCCTGTCTCTTGAACCAGCTGATAGAATTTTTTCCACCATATTATGTTTTTTCCTCTTTCCCTTATTGCTGTGGCTTGTGTCTAGATGTCCCACAAAACCTCATGCAGTCTTTTTCGAAGGTAGCTGAATCTGGACTGTGTGATGCTGGGATTAAGGGCATGATTACTAAACAGGAGTGAGTACTTGGTTTGGCACCGGCCTAATCCCCGTAGTCTGAATAAAAGGGGCAGAAAGACGCTGTTAAGGTCTCTTGTTGCTTTTGCTGCTTCCATCATCATGAACCGTTGTCCCTCTGCCACTCTGCCTTGGAACCAGCCGATTGTGGACTGAAACCTCTATGAACTGTAAGCCAAATAAACCTTTCCCCCTTTAACTTTGGGTGTCAGGTATTTTGTCTCAGCAACGAGAGAAACGTAACTAACACACTTATGTTTTCTCCCTCACCCAAGGCAGAGGCCCCTTCGCCTTCATCCCCACCAGTTTCTGCCCCAGCAATCCCATCCCCAACGGCCCTGAGAGAGATCGGGAAACAAAGTGGCGCCCGCTTCACGCAGGGGAATCTGTTCCCGTGACGGGAGGCATCGGGTGGGGATGGAAGTGTTATCAGAGTGCATGTTCCCCTCTCGGTAACAGACATGGCTCAGTGTAAAGAAAAGTTTGCGAGTCTAGGGACAAGGTCATTGACTGCAACTTTTGTTCTCATTTGGAGGGACACATTTAGTATTAATTCATTGCTGCACTCCTGATGAGAAAGACATATTCTTTAAAAGGCTGCTGAAGGAGTGGGGAGGATGGCCGCTCATACTCCAGACCACGATGTTCAGAGACCTGGGGAAAATGCAGTCTCCTATACAGACCCCAAATGGCACCCTCAAAATCCCATCCATAAGGGGAGAATGGAGCTTTCTGTGACTAGTATTTCAGAAGGAATGAGAAGGTGTCAGGTTAAGCCTGTCAGTTATGACAGGAACAAAGAACACAAAAAAGAGAATTCTGCTGTATTTTCAAAGCACTGGTCAGAAGTGTTCTGAAGTATACTAACAGTGGCCTGTGGCTGGCAGAGAGGAGGGCCCTAACGGGCATGCATCTCCTAATGCAGTCTGCTTCACATATTAGGGGAAAGTTATAAACACTCGAGGCAGGACCCCAAACTCCACTGTTGTCTTTGGCAGAGGAGGTCTTTGAGCTCTATAATAACTGGGACCAGGCCGAAGAGGCAAAGAAAAGAGATCAGAGAAAAAGATTTCAGCTTTCAGGTGATGTGGTTCAACTACCACCTCAGGGTGACTCAAAAGGCCCTTCAAACTTACTTGGCCAGGATTAGGTAGAAATCAGTGTGCATATCATTGAAAGGAGGGTCACTGGAGAAATGAAAGTCATAACTGAAACCAACTTACAGGGACGGTTCCAAACCTGTGATGGATGGACTCTCCTAGGAGGAGAGGTGACACCTGGGGTGAGGAAGCCGATGCTCCTCCAGACCCCACAACGATCAGAAGCTGTAAACATTGTACCAGTGGAGCCTGGGGAACTCTTGACATGGCAGGCAGGAAAACAGAATTCTTCCCAGACACAGGAGTTGCCTACTGTCCTGACCCAAGCTATTGCTTGGCCCGGTCTGATGCTAACTGTAGGGTAGTGGGTACTGATGGACAGCCTAAGGTAAGAAATTTCACTTCCCCCTGAGTTATGAGATTGGATCTACTACCATTATCCACTCCTTCCCATATGTCCCTGAACATCCTATGTCTTTGTCAGGAAGATGTCCTTAGGAAATTAGGTGCTTCCATCTTTCTCAAGGGAGATCAGATACAGGTTTCTGTGGGGTCCAAGCAGGTGAACCATCTGTTAGCTCTCCTTAATAATCTTGCAGAATTCAGCAAATTCCTGAGGAAATAAGGGCCCAGGTACAGATATTAGTTTGGGATATTAACACACCAGCATACGCTGTGAATGTAGAGCCCATTAAAATCACAGCTCAAAAAAAACACAACAAAGCAGATCTTCTTAGGGTCTCACTAGCTAGTGAATTCACAAGTGGAGGTAAGATGGGATTCCAAAAATAAAGACTTCTTTCAAAAACAAAACAAAACAACACAACTCAAACCTGAAGTAGACTTCCCTGGAGGAGATAGTCCCCCCTCAAACCTAAGACTGAGAGGCATCCAACCTACACTGAAGACATTTCTGAGACATGGGCTCATTAGACCTTGCCAGTCCCATGTAACACTCATATTGTTAGGACAGGTCTGTTCAAGACCTCTGTACAATTAATGAGGCACTAATTGCTATATACCCTGTAGTACCTAACCCCTGTACTCTGCTTACCAGGTCCCCAGGGAAGCTAAGAATTTCGCAGTCCTGAATCTGAAGGAAGCCTTTCCTGTATCCCCTTCCATTTGGAGTCATGGTATCTATTCAGCTCTGGGTGGCAAGTGGAGGTTCTCTGGTCCCTAGCTTCTTAAAGGGCAATTCAGACTCAGACACTGACTTATGGTGACACCAAAAATGGACGGGACAGTTTCTCGTGCTGGCTAGGCTGGCAGGGCTGCTGAGGCCAGCACACAGGCCCTGGGGTTGGGCTGTCTTCACTGTATTATTTCTGGTGTGTGGCTTTACCTTTATTTTGAACTCACAATGTAGCTGAGAGGCTGAGAATTGGAGCCAGGCCCCATTTCTGCTCCAGCAGTCACAGAAAATGTGGACTTGCCCTAACAAGCAATTCCAGAACAACCCTTTTTGGGTTCACCATTCATAGCTTTCTTTCCTCCTGGGTTAAGTGGAGAACCTGACGATTCCAGAGGCTGGGCCAGCGAACGCCCCAACTCCAGCCAGCCCAAGCAGCCGCTGTCCAAGACAGCCAAACGACTAAATTTTGCTTAATAATGGATGATGGAGACGCGTCCGGTGAAGAAGTGAAAGAGACGAACAGCTTGAGGCCTTTCCCTGGCTGCTCAGGGCTAAGTGAAACCATAAAGGCAGCCGGGCTGGTGCCTCGGGGATAATTATCTCCGAAGAAGGGGACTCACCGTCTTTATCTGTTTACCAAAGAGAGTATACAATATATATATATCCCAAGGCTTTTCTCAAAATTGCCACTTAGCTTTTATTGTATTCATTAAAAAATTTTTTTTCATTAAAATTTTTTATTTCATGAAAAATGACTTCTTGCTTACAAATTTCCCAGAAAGCATGGCCTCTCTGTTCAAACACGTCAAGGACATGGAATTCCTGCTGTCACGTGACCGCACAAGATTTACAAGGCAGAAGCGAATTCTAGGGAACCAGCTTCCCAATGGCTTGGCTCAATCTCACCGAGGCAGCGGAGGCCTCGGTCTGAGCCAGCCCGCAGGAGCAGCGCCTACGGAAGACAGGCTGGGCGCCCGGCAGGCAGTGTGGCTCTCTTGGCGAGTCACTGTGGGCTGCACACGGGGCCACAGTGCTAGGCTGGGGGACATGGGCGGGGAGCACCATCCCTCGGGTGGCCGGGGCGCCCATGTTCATCAAGCCAGGGGTGCTGCACCCTCTCCACCCGCCCTGGGCAGAGGCTCCTGCCATTCTGCACAGCCAGGAGAGAGGGCGCACCGCACGCTGGCTCGGGAGACTACAGACATGCAGCTCGGCCACGGGGCTGACTCCCTCCGACCTGGGAAAGCACAGAATGCTTTTTGTCCAAGCCCCTAAAATATTTGAAGTTACTGTGAAAAACGTCATAGGAGCCACACAAGAGAGGACAAAGGCTCCACATGTCCAGTGGGTGCACCTGACTCGCCTCCCCAGGGAGCATCTGTGCCCTCACAAGTGACCAGCAGGCCCTTCGTGTGTGACTGGCCATGGAGCCTTGCCTGAATGCCAGGCTTCGTGCACTGGCATCCAGAGGGTGGCTCCCTTCTGTCCCCAGGATGTTCCTGTAAAGCAAGGCTGGAACTGCAGACAGATCTGGTTCGCTGGGAACTCAGGAGCCAGCAGGGATGTCTTCTGTGCTCTCAAAACCAGCACTAGGAACCCACTGCCCCCTCAGGAAAGGTCTGGGTGGCGGAGCCTGCAGGACGCAGAAGCCTCGAGGGAAAGGAGGAGGTCAGACTCACTTCTGATACAGAACAAGCGTGAAAAAGTGTGCGCTGCCAGCCTCGGCTCCCTGGCGTGGGAGAGCCGCCTGCCACCACCCCCCCGGCCCCCTTCCCTGTGCCCAGGCTACGTGCGGCACAGCCTCAGCGGGAAGTTCTCGGTGATGAGGTGATCCGCATGGAGCAGCACGACGACGTTGGCCTCGAATTCTGTGGACAAGGAGACAGGGCTCATGCACACTCACGGAGCGGCGGGACCCGAAGCCACACTCACTGGGTGCACCCAGGCTCAGGGCGAGGCTTCACACGATGTCGCCTCCCAGTTCCGGCTGAGCAGCCTGCTGGCTGTCCAGGCTGTCCAGCCGTCGCCTGCTGCCTGTGCTCGGAGGCGAGGCACGGGGCGCGCCAGGGAGCCTAACTCACGGGTGGCGTCATCCGGAGCCCACAGCTGACCAGGCCGGGAGGGGCAGTCACAGGGGCAGCTCTTGGAGGGGTGAGCTGTCCCCAGCCCACCCTCTCTCTCTGGCTCTCTCTGCGTCCTGGCTGCCGTGAGCAAGCAGCTTTCCTCCCTTGCCTTTCTGCCTTGGAACCAGCTGACCATGGACTGAAACCTCTGGAGCCAAATACACACAGTGGACCCTCAAGTTACAACCAGCCTGACACATGAACAACTTTGGTTACAACCAGCATTTTAGTTTTAACTTACGAATAAAGTCTTGAGCTACAAACCAAATGCTGGTGGCTTGTGCTTCCAGACGGTCTCAGATACAGATTTAAAGAGCTCTAGAAAGAACATGACAGCATCCTCTCCTGTGAGGGGTTCACTGAAATCCTGGGCCGGGCTCTCTCTAAGGACACTGAGCTCCGCCTGTGTGCAGGAGAGAGACTGTGAAGGCTGTGGAGGAGCCTGAGCCCTCACTGCCCAACCTGAGTTACAGGCAGCCCTTGGGAACGAACTGAGTTCGTAAGTCAAGGGTCCACTGAGTTTCCTCCTCTAAGCTGCTTCTCTGGTGTTTGGTCACAGCAATGAAAAGCTGACTGAACCACGACGCTGACGTGGGGGCGCCTGCGCCAAAAGCAGGAGAGAAGACGACTCATGGGTCACCATGGGCCCTGCGCTCAGTCTCTACCGATCCAGCTCCCGGCAGAGACCACCGACGCCGGGGGCCGGGGGCTGTCAGCGCCTTCCGGGCGTTCGGCACTCGCTCAGGTCTTGCAAGCTGCACTGGGACCAGGCCGCATCCACGCCACCCTCTGCCTGCCCGACCCTCGCTCGGCGACACGGTGACCTGGTGACCTGACCGTGTGAAAGCACAAGCTCCGCAGAGGCAGAAGCTCACACGCAGCGCCGTCCCCGAGAGCCGGCTGGGACGGCAGACAGGCGCCGGCTAGGGCCCCGTGCCACTCACCCACTTTGAAGTTGGTGGTCTCCAGCGTGGGGCAGGTGAACAGCCTGGGGAAGACCATGTGTATGGGGACTGAGAGGCCCCGGCACACGTCGCCGTCGGCGATCTGAATGTTCTGAATCTCTGTGGCGTCTCGGGCGTAGCCTTCCGCGCACCCTGGGGAGGGGAGGAGCCGTCATAGTCATAGGGTCGGGACCAGCACAGGGAGCAATGCACCTTCCGGCTCTGGGGGACCCACTGCCTCCTCCAGTGCACCCCACAGGGCCCCAGACAGTGGCCAACATTCCCCGCTCACTGGACCCCAGCAAACTGCACCGAGGTTTAGTCCTCTGTTGGAAACTCAGTCCCCAAATGAACACATCAGTGGGATCTGGAGGCGGAGGCTTTAGGGGGCAACTGGTGGATGTGGCTGAATGAGATCTCAAAGGGAGTGGCCATGCTATAAAACTGAGTTCTCCCCAGGCCTGGTGGTGCCCGCCTGTAATCCCAGCACTCAGGAGGCCGAGGCAGGAGGACCACCTCAAGTTCAAGGCCAGCCTGGGCTACACAGTGAGTTCAAGACCAGCCTGAACTCCATAGCGAGACCCTGTCTCAGAAAAGCCAATCAATCAATCAATCAATCAATCAATCGATCGAGCTCTCGGTGGCACGCCTGCACTGTCTCCCTGGGTGATGTGCCCTGCCACAAGATGACACAGCAGGAAGGCCCTTGCCAGATCCACTCTTGGACTTGCAACCTTCAGAACCGTGAGCCAAATAAGCCTCTATTCTTCAGAAATTTCCCAGTCTCAGGTAACTTGTTACAGCAACAGAAAACAAACCCAAGACACAGACTTTTATTGCAGCAGAGACGTGGCCTCACTTGCATCCATTCACATCTTTTTTTTTCCCCCCAGTACTGGGACATGAACCCATGGCCTCTGCACTGAGCAATATCCTCAGCCTTTTTAAATTTCTTTCTTTTGGAGACAGGTCCTTGCTAAATTTCTCAGGCTGGACTCAAACTTGCAGTCCTCCTCCCCCAGCCTCCCCGAGTGCTGGGATTACAGGTGCGCACCATCACACTCAGCTCACCCACAATGGTTTTAACCGCTGACCACACCCAGGTGACAGGCAGAGGGCAGGGCCTCACCGCACGTCTCCACGCGGACCAGCTGCAGTTCGATGCTCCGGATGGCGGCATCCGAGTGCTCCACCACCAGCTCGCCCGTCAGCGGCTGTGTGATCACGCAGTTGGTGGAGCTGAGGTGGCCTCTAATGAGGAATTTGGGCAGCAACGCTCTCTAAAGCAAGGGAAAACACGTATGTCAGGAGCAGAAGGACAGGGGTGAAATTACTCGGTAACACTTTGGGGCAGACACTAAAAACTGAGAACAGATGGGTAACTGTGACACAATGTGCTGGGACCCTGTTCTACAGAACGGGAACAGTGGGACGACAGTGACTGCACCCTCTTGCAGCTTGGACACTAGGAGGCTGAACTGCTAAACTAAACATAGGAGATGTGACAGAAAAGCATGGCGAATGTTTTAAGTTTTAAAAATTTATTACAGTAAAATACACGTTCCCCTGAATCTCCTCAAAATATACCCTCCTCGCTTCACACACACTGCTCCCACCGTCCTGGCCGCTTCCTGCAGCAGCTCTGGAGCCCTCTTTCCCGGGTGTCTTTACTTGCGCTGTCCTGGCTGCCTCCATGTCCTGAATGGACTCAAGATGTTACCTTTTGTGGTCACTCTGACTCTGGGGAGAGCCGGAAGTCACATGGTGCCAGACCCGGTGACTAAGGTGGCTGAGGACACAGCGTCACGTTTTTACGAGCTGCCTCTCTGTTGGATGGCACTTGCAGCAGCTTTGCCACACTCAGGGAAGAGGACTCCCGAGCTGCTTCAGAACGTGGCAAGAATGATGCGGTGAGGCTGAAACTAGGGGAGTATTTTGAAGGGGATGCATGGCAATGTGGCTTTTACTGTAACACGTTTTTAAAAATTTAACCATTCACCATATATTTTGATCACAGCTGGTCGTACGGCTCCTAATGTCACAGCCTGTACAGCAGGACCAGAAAGTCATCCACATGCCCAGACCTGGCTCTAGATGGCTCCTCACACCAGGCAGTCAGCTAAAAAGTCTCAGAAAGCTGGCACGGGCATTTAAGGACAACCAGTCACAGGGGAAAAAGGGAAAAAAAGGAGGTTTTAGAAAAGACAATCAAAAATATTTCCAATTGTGCAATTTTGAAAAGCCAAGATAATTTATTTCAAGGCAACATCAAGGAGCAGTTTTCCCAAGGCCTGAGGAAAAGGCTTTGAGCCTTTTCCCTGGAGACCAGGAAGCTGGCCGCGGTGGTGGCCGCAGTCTTGTGGGAAAGCCCAAGGGTCGCTGTTCCTCAATCACAGGGCAGAGCCCGCTCCGTCCAGCAGAAACGATACAGCCACAGATGTGACTTAAAGCCACTTATGTAACTTACAATGTGCAACAGCCACATATGTAATTTAAAATTTTCTAGGAGCCATATTTCTTGTGGTTACCTCCTTGACATTCTGTAGGGTCTCCGGTGTGATGGTGAAGTCCACCGGACTCGGGGTCAGCTTCCCTTTCTGCGGCTAGAACGGGAGGTAAGGCAGTCAGCAGGCCGAGTGCCACCAGAGGGGTGGTGGGGCAGCTCCTCCTGCAGTGCAAGGAGCTGGGGTGCTGGGTGTCAGGGGCAGGAGGTCTGGGTCCCAACCCAACACAGCTCGGCCAGAAGACAATGCTGTGCTGTCACCTCTCTCCACCCCCGGGCCTCAGTTTCCCTATCTGCAAGGGTCATAATGGGCTTGGAATTTACAAATTAGAGGCATCTGCTGTAAGCCTCTGTCCTAGAGTAAGAGCTAACACTGCAGCACGCCCTGTGGGCTGCAATACACAAGCAGGTGTCCCCCTTCACACTCAAGGACGGGGCACACAGGCTGGGTGACTTGCCCAGGACGCTGCACCATGTCCCCACCCTCCTGCTGCTGTCCCGACCGGGCACCCACTCCCCTAGCAGCAGCCGAGAGGGATGCAGCCACCTTACTTGCTGGACAATGGGGCCATCTCAGACCCCAAGGAGAAGTGGGGGCTGGGAGAATCTTACAGCGGAGTGGACAATGAACTCGCAGGTCTTCGTCAAGTCCTTGGCCAACAGCGACCGCCTCATGTCACAGCGCAGCGTGTACTGGAGGGAAAGTGAAGAAAGTGGCATATTAGTGGGCTCCGTATGCATCTGGAAATGACATTCCAAGGGGCAAGTTGGTGTCCATGGTTTAGGGCAACTGTGTTCAAGGAATATGTGATGTGAAATTAACACATATAACAGGAGAGTTAATACTGCGAACAGAGGCGCTTCTGCGAAAACATAGAGCACCCGCCAGAAACAACACCCTGGGCTTATTCCCCAGGGCCTGTCCTCGAAGGCATGCTGAGGTTGGGTCACAGAGGACACTGACACCCGGTCTGGCCTACAGCATGGGAAAGATCAGGCTGGGAGAAGAAGGAGTGCAGGCAGGAGCAGCTGGTTCAGTCACAAATCTGCTTCCTTTGTGATCCCAGCCAAGTGACACAACTTCTCTGAGTTTCCACTTTCCTGCCTGTAAGCAGGGCCATCAATACGAAGCTGCAGTGAGAATCCAATGTACTATGTGTGGGAGGCACTGAGCATGGGGTTGTCAGAGACCCCCAGAGCCAGTGCCTACCCTCACTCCCCTGCTGAGCATGAGGCCCCAGGGCCAGGTTCACAGTCATACCCTATCCTCAGGAGCATCAAATTTACCAAAGCAAAGTCACAGAGCCAGGTGTAGTGGCACAGGCCTGTAATCACAGCACCATGGGAGGCTGGGGCAGGAAGATCCCAAGTTCAAGTTGCCCAGGCAATTTAGCAAGACCTTGTTTCAAAATACAAAAAAGGGGGACTTCTGGGAAGACGGTGGAGTGGTGAACAGCAGAGAAACAGCCTCTCTGAGATTTGATGTCCACATGATGGAATATAGCAAAGTGAGGACGAAAAGGAGGGAAGTGGGTCCCCAGGACCTAAGAAGGATCTGAAACGATAAATTGAAGTCCATGGGGAGAGCAAGGAGAGCGATTTCAACAAAGAAGGAGGCAGCAAGCAGTGCTTTCTGCCTGAGCCCTGACTTACTGCATGGGAAGGGCAACTCAAATCTGTAGATGCTCAGTGATTACAGAGGCCTCCACAGAGAAACGTTTCAGTGGAACAGAGCAGTGGACGCAGTGGACTGCAGCGGCTGTTGAGCTATTTGGGTTCAGATGTCCCCCAAGCAGAGGGCAAATGGCTGGTTACCATCTCAGAAAGGGGTCAATAGAGCTGAGAACTCAGAGCAGCTGCTGGCTGCCTCCATCAGGGTGAGGCAGAACCAACTTTAAGTCAGCAGGAGGCACATGGGGTGTTGCAGACTGAACAAAATTATTTCCAGTCTCACAGCCAGAAACCAGCCTGAACTTCAGAACCAAAGGTGCATGAGTGCTGGGATTATCCAGTACCTCATCAAAACTCTACAGCTGGCTTGTTGGGATTAATCAACATGGATCTGGGTTCCATGTGCCCACTTTGTCTACCAGTGACAGCAGAGACAAATCCTGAAGTTGACTTTTTTTTCCTTTTCTTTTTTTGATTATTCTTGTTTTATATAAGTGTGAATAGTTTTTATTTTTTTCTTGTTGTTCTGTTCTTTTTATTTCTTCCTTCTCTCTTTCCCTCCTGTCTTCACTAGTTTCCGAAAGTCTGCATAATTTTCCTGTTTTTCAGCCTTGCTTCTAATCTCTTCCTCTTCTTCTAGTTCTCTATTTTTTCCCTCTAACTTCTTTTAAATTTTCTCCCCTGTGGGTAAAATTGGCATACTGAGGGAATATTTACTGTATACAATTTTCTGGTTTTATATTTTTTGTTTTGTTTTGTATTGGGGATCGAACTTAGGACCTTGCACTTGCGAGGCAGGCGCGGTGCCACTGAGCTAAATCCCCAGCCCTTAGATTTTTTTATATAATCAAATATCTAGTTCATATGGTTAAAGGTGGCAAATTAATAGTTACCACAGTTCATCATTTTCTAGGCTGTATTTGATGCTACTATTGTTGCTGATTGTACTACTTTAGTTAAAGTGACATAGTTGTTTTAATTGGTTGTGCTTTTAGGTACGCCAGGACTGAGATTGTTTAAGGGTCATAAACAATACTATAGGTGCTATAGGCAAGTGCCAAAGAACCAGGGGTGGGCCAGTAGGCAGCAACTTCTCATCCTCAATAAAATGGATAGGATCTTTCAACCAAAAAATCTTTTCAAAACCCAAAAGCCAGCTATACCAGGAAGACATCGATGAAAAGTAATCATTTCCTAAGGGTTATAAAAACTAGCAATAAAGCTAGTTGCCATAGCAGTTTATAAGCATCAACCTAGGAATTACATTTTTTTTTTTTTGGTACTGGGGATCGAACTTGGGTCCCCGTGCTTGTGCAGCAGGCAGCGAAACCACTGAGCTAAATCCCCAGCCCTAGGGGATAGAAAGATAGGGCCGGGGAATTGGCTCAGTGGTTTTACTGCCTGCTGTGCAAGTGCAAGGACCCGAGATCGATCCCCGGTACCAAAAAAAAAAAAAAAAATTAGAACACACTTAAGAAAGATGCAATCCCATCCAGCTCACCAGAGGCAAACCCAGGAAGCAATGAGGTAGAACAATCGAAAGCCACCCACTTGGACTCTCTGAAGTGATAACAGTGGAAGTAACAAATGAGACTCTAGAAAAAAACAAAGCAGAAATAGTTTCTTGGGTAACTACAAAGATGGTGACCATAATGAAAGACATGCTTAGTGACTGTAGAGCAAATACAGATAAAAAAATACAGGAGCTTAGGAAAATGATGGAAACCATGAACACTAAACATAGAAAAGAAATAAAATTCATAAAACAGATTCAAACACATATCCAGGAGATTAAAAATTCCACTGAAAGTATACACAGCAGAATGAGAATATGAGGACAGAATATCAGATACAGAAGACAGGATTGTGGTTAGTGACCATGAAAAGAAAGATTTCTTAAAAATATCAAGGGACCATGAAAAATCAATCCAACACCTGCTAGATGATGTGAAGAAGAATACCATAAGATTGATCAGAGTCAATGAAAAAGCAGGAGATAGGGCAAGTGACATAAAAAACCTGTTCACAGAAGTCATGGCAGAAAACTTCCCAAACAGGGAAAAAGAATTTGACATACAGATAAGTGAGACATATGGAACTCCAATTAGCTATGATTAAAAAAAAAAAAAAGTACACCAAGGAATATAATGGTCAAGATTCAAGAAATCCAACAAAAGAACAGAATATTAAAAGCTGTTAAAAGAAACAAATCACCTATAAAGGAAAGCCCATCAGAATCACACCAGACATCTCAACACAAACCCTCAAGTCAAGGAGAGCTTGGAGTGAAATATTTCAAGCTGTAATAGAAAACAACCTCCAACGCAAATTGATGTACCCCACAAAACTATATTTCGAAACTGATGAATAAGATAATTCCATAACAAATAACACCTGAAGAAATTCATGACCACCAAATCAGCAACTCAAAGTGTTCTGAAGGACATTCTATAAAGAGATAATGAAGACTACAACTCCATGAACCCCAACAGAATGAATCTACCAGGCAAAAAATTAAAGAGGGGGAAGAAAGGAAAGCAACAACAGGAAAATAACATGACAAGGATAAGTCAATACGTATCAGTTATAACCATCAATGTAAATGGTCTCAATTCACCAATCAAAAGAAACAGACTGGCAGAATGGATCAAGAAGCAAGAGCCAATAATATGTTGCATATAAGAAACATATTTAACTCAAAAATAAACTTAGAGACTGACAGAGAATGGGAAACGATACTCCATGTGACAGGAACCAGGAAAAAAGCAGGAGTAGCTATTCTCTTTGTAGACAAAGTGGATTTCAAGCCAAGACTGATTAAGAGAGACAAAGAAGGTCACTACAGCCTTGCAAAGGGAACAAACCAAGAGGAAGAGATAACAATCCTAAATATATATGCACCAAATAGCAGTGCATCCAACTATATAAAACCAGTATTAACTGACACAAAAAATCAAATAAGCACTAATACAATTGTAATAGGGGACCTCAATTCCTCACTGTCACAGATCAACTAGACAAAAAAATCAACAAAGAAATATCAGAACTGAACCAAACTTTTGAACAAATGAATTTAGTTAGATGTCAACAGTGTTCCACCCCACAACATCAGAATACACATTCCTGCCAGGCAGCTCAATGGTGCCACTGCCTGCCTCACAAGCGCAAGGTCCCGAGTTCGATTCCTACCCCCCCCAAATACACTGAGATTCCATCTCGTTCCAGAAAGAATGGCTACTGTCAAGAAATCAGTGAATAACAAATGCTGCTGGGGTTGTAAGGGAAAAAAGAAACCCTTCTCCATTCTTGGTGGGAGTGTAGACTGGTGCAACCACTGGAAATCAGTGTGGAGATGCCTCAGAAAACTAAAACTAGAGGTTCCACTTAATCCAGCTAAACCTCTTCTTGGTATCTTCCCAAAATAAATCATACCACTGTGATATATGCACACCCATGTGTATACCAGCACAGTTTGTAATAGCTAAATCTTGGAAACAGCCCAAATGCCCATCAACTGACAAATGGATAAAGATGTGGGTTTTTTTTACATATAGAATACTACTCTACTATAAAGAATGAGCTTCAAACATTTATAGCTAAATGGATGTACCTTGACACCATACTCTTAAGTGAAATAAATCTGACACACGTTTAAATACTGCATTGTTTCTCTGGTGTGAGAAACTAGAGTGTAAATAAGGACCAAAACATAAAAGATACTGGGAAATGGGAAGAAATGTTCAAATGAGAAGGGGGAACAAGCGAAGAGGAAAGGATAAGGCTGGACCAGGGATGTAGCTCAGTGGCACTGTGTCTGCCTTGCCAATGCAAGGTTCTGAGTTCAATCCCCAGTACAAAAACATGATGAGGGAAGGAAGGGACAAGAAAAAAAAACAATAGGTGGAAAAAATGGAAGCAAAGCTTTTGTAATTAAGGGAAGAGGGGTTGAAGGGATGGCGGGGGGGAAATGGGAAAAAAAGAATTAAGATATATCATGTACAGGGATAAATTCCCTACACTGA